GAATCGCTCTATTTTTTTAAATGAATTGTTCTATTTTTAAAATCTATATGTATATTTTGATAAGTCCTAGATTCATTATCTTCCTAAATGAATCTTAGATTATTGAGTTCATTGACTGAGGTTGTAGCAAGTTAATGTTATGTGCCATAGAGTGTGGCCTCGGGTCACAACTACAGTTGCAGATATTGGCATTTCAGGAGAGGATTATAGCACAACAAATGATGTAAACGCTTCGCTTACAGTCCAACAAAGGTCTATCATAGGTGCCCTTGCTTTTCAGCATCAAAGTAACCATAAATTATGCTTTGAAGGTGAGCATATTGCCTACACTAATTGGTTGTAGGTAATTTAGAGACAGCTGCATTACTTGCGATGACTTTTCAGCATCAACAGCAGCAAAACCAGGTACCTTCCTCTCCTCTGTCTGCACCCGCGACATGCATTGATTTAGCAATCCCTAAATCGCTTTCCCTTCCAAAGCAATCCGAAGGCTTTGTAGGAAATGAGAAAAAACTCTCTCTATCCTCATCAAATGATTTCAAAATCGGCACATCTGATTCTTTAAGGCATCAAGCATTTCTATACTATACACACAATCATCAGCCAGATCAATCTCGAAGAGAGTGCCTTGATGACTCTCGCAGTGACGGCACACCAGAGACCTGTAGTCAGGACTATCTAGATCAAGACAGCCCCCCTGGTAAGTTTTCGCTTATACCTATTTTTTCTTGAATCAACTTTATAACTAAGCTTTATCTTAGACATTGTGAATAATCCCTAGCCTGAAATCAAATTAATTTATTTTCGATTTAATCCGTCCATCAGCTATCGTTACTATCTTTTGTTTGTTAGTTAATTTTGACTAAATTTTAACCAATGGAAATACGAATTTTATGGTATTTTTGTCTCGAATGTTTTAGCGCTGACAGCAACTTGTGGTGTAGGGGTCCCGTGTTCTAGCAGCTCAAACCTGCAGCAGGTTTTGCTTTTGCAATGTGAATTGTGCCCTGTATGTGGTGACAGAGTTTCCGGATATCATTATGGACTTCCTACGTGCGAATCCTGCAAAGGTATTTATCATACATAATTCATGCCTTAATTGTTGTTTTTAAATATTTTTTTAATTTTTATTGACTATTAGAGAATCAGATTGCTCTTATTGTTTCCCACTACTACTTTTCAGGATTTTTCAAAAGGACGGTACAAAATAAGAAGGAATATCAATGTACGGAGAATGGTCATTGTACTATAGATCGGGTACATAGGAAGCGTTGTGCCTATTGCCGATTCCAGAAATGCCTTGTTGTGGGTATGCGAGTTGAGGGTATGTTTCAGTCCCAATAATATTAATATGATACAATTTGAGACAGCTTTAACTATTCAATTTGATGTCAATTTTTGAATTATTGAATTTTTTTGCAAATCCTTTTAACTGTTTTTACTCAAATTTTTATCATTTATAATCTTAAAATTTCAAGTAAATCCTGCAACCGAACTTTTGAACTTTCGTTCGTTAAATATTCTATTTCGCATTGTCTAACGTCATCAGAAATATTTATCTACTATTAGTCGATTGATAGAAATTTTGTGACAGCTTATGTCTTATTCATTTTCATTCCAACAAATTC